CCGGATTGGCTGACATTCTGACCAATCAGGACATGCCTACGTCTGGCCCGTGTCCTGCACGTGACACATGCGTCCAAATGATGTGATGTTCGGTTATTAGGGACCGCTGGTCCCCGAACACTAACTGACCTTAGCTCTGATTCTGCCAAAAAGAGTCCTTATGACGTCCAGACTAAGGGCTGCTGAGGCCCAGTTGGATAAGAGACTCACGGATAACGGGAATCTTTTACTTCAGATGTGTGCCGATCGTAGACTGTTCTTTTGCAGTACCGATTTCCTAAACAACAAAAAAACAGCTGAAAACGTGGTGTCCACCAACAAACTAGTCTCGAATCACCATCAATTCCTCTGGTGGTGATAGTCTATCACTGCCTCCCGCTTCTGCTGCGATACCAGCGTGGACTTCGGCCATGCACATGTGCGCCGCTGCTTGTCATTGTGCCTGTGTGCAAAACCCGCACTCACTGAGAGTCTAGTTGATCCAGAACTCAAATAAACCTACCGAAGAGCCGGCTCCTGAACCCCCCAGATGCTACGATGCCGGATACTAACGGGCACTGGAAACAGATATCCTAATTGTTACTGAAATCCGGGACTACCTTTGCGGTCCAGTCCAGCCAAAATCGTCCAAACACTGGATCTCTGATAGGACAATGTATTTCCTGGAGCCCTGTTGATTAATTCCTCCTGAGCCCGGCCCATCATCCGACGCCATGTTAATGTGAGTGTCCGTGCAGACCGAAAACCGTGGTGGATTCGAAAGCCCAAAGAAATGGAAGAGGCAAAAAATACTGGGAAATTCCGCAGACTGTTACATCTGACTCTTCTGAATGGTTCTAAGAAGCTTCCCGCAAGTGAAACTATCAGGGACAAAATGGATATCTGGTATTCAGAGAAGCAGCAATTCTAGGGCATTGTGCACAGTAGTCTGAACAATAAAAATTCTGTTAGACACCTGCTACCTACATTCCAGACTACCAACCATCAGCAGAAGGATGTTCTGTGGATATTGAACCCCATTCAATCTCAAAAGGGCACGTGTGTTTACCAGTTTTCAAGCGCCATCGTGTTCCTGGTACTGATAACCAACGTGCTGCCGATGAGTTGCCCAGACAGTCCATGTTTGGCATATTTGCCTCTAACTGAGAGCAGGCCGTACCAGACAACTGCAGTGAGCCGTTACTAGTGCCCATTTTCAAAAAGGGTGCTCGCAGTGAATGTAGTAACCAGAGAGGTGTTAGTTTTACTCCTCTTGTCACAAGGCGTCCGACGTCACAGTTAATTGGTCGCCTTACGGTGGCGAACAAAACTTTGATCCGTGAGCATCAACCGGGAGTTCTGCCGGGTAGAGCCTGCGTTGACCACAACATTAAAACTCCGTCAGAAGTGAGAGTAGCACTATTTGGACAGATGACCCACAATCCTGGTGTTCCTAATCCTAAAGGATGCGTTGAAACATTATCATAATCATCATCATCATCATCATCATCATCATCATCATCATCATCATCATCATCATCATCGTTATCATAATCATAATCATCATCAACATCATCATCATCACCATCATCACCATCAACATCATCATCATCATCATCACCATCATCATCATCATCATTATCATCATCATCATCATCCTCATCATCATTGTCATCATCATCATCATCATCATCATCATCATCATCATCATTGTCATCATCATCGTCGTCATCATCATCATCTTCATCATCATCCTCATCATCGTCATCATCATCACCATCATCACCTCCAACCGCTCAATCACACAATCTTGAAAGAACCTGACAACCAGAACGGTCGACGGGTCAATGCTGCTAAATGGGGTATGCTCTGAGAAATTAAAACATAATCTGGTCTCATGATTCCAAGCGCATACGTATGTATAATTAGCTATCAACAAGCTGTGGGTATACCAGACTATAGTAAGGGCTGTATTGCTGTGTGGTTGCGAAGCATGGCCTCTACGAACAGATAATGTGAAGCTTCTTCAGTGTACCACCGCCGATGCCTCGAAAGCGTTACTGTTGGCAGGTGAACTCAACGAACTCGTCATGAGATAACTCGGAAACGGATTTGTGGCTGTGTAGTTGGTAGTTCAGTCATGGAGAATACCCATTATCACCAAGTGTGCTGGCCCATCGATGCGTTACGCACGCCGAAACACCATCTACTGAACGGGTGTTTTTCTCTTCGCTTCTTTCGGAAGCGCGCAGACGGCGAGGCGGAAAACGTACGACTTCGTAAAAGGTTATGAAAGAGGTCATAGTAAGTTTGGCCGTCGTTTGTGCAGTCCATCTTCCAGTTTGGGTACCCTTGGCTAGAGAGAGTTCAAGAAATGTTGTCCAATCGATATAAGTCGTATTCGTGATCCCAGATTCTTCGCACGTTGTTTGATTGAACGCTTGGAGGAGCGAGTACTTTAGGCCAGTACCAAGTCCACTCTTTTCTCTTCCTTTCATCCCACCCTTTAAACGTAGCTAGAAATTTATGCTGTTTTATGCTGTCTCTGATGATGACGATGATGATGATGATGATGATGATGATGATGATGATGATGATGATGATGATGATGATGATGATGATGATGAGGATTATGGTTGACCTCAAACCGTGTGTTTGGCAAGTAGACACATTGCAAACGATTACCGGTGAGCCATGCCTTTGTTATTGAAAGTTCGAGTGCTTCACACGCTGTCAGTAGTTCCCTACCGTTGCCTTTCATGGATCTGATTCTAATCGCTCTCAGTACCTTCTTCCAGGATTCCAGTTCTTACCTACTCGAGTATTTGAATCGCCTTTACAGAAATTAAAGTCGGATGGGGGTGCAGACCTGACCAGTACTGACAGTTGACCGTAAAAGTATTCTTCCCCTCGTCTGAATATGGAATTGTGGGGGAATGTGAGCTGACGAACGTTGCAAACCTTGTCCCGGACAGCCGAAATTGGGCGGCCATCATTTACGAGTTGGCACAGTTTGGTTGATTCGTTATCCTCTGATTCACGTGACTTGCGACAGCAAATCCGGTACCACATTCAAGTTGGCTTCACTGTGTTTTCCCACTCCAGTAGTCTAATCCAGCCTTAAGTGGCCTTCCTTGGTCCTCCATTTAAATTTCGTTGAGTGCAGCCACATCTCTTCTTTAGCGTGTGGGTTTTTCTCCGACAAGAGTAGTTGGTCTCTTAGGTCTGTCTTCTTTTGTTCTCATCCGGGGGGAACTTTCATGTTCCAGGTTATAAGTCGTAAAAGTTGTGTTTGTCTTTTCTTTTCAAACAGTTTCATTTGCTGGACGGTGAGGTATCTCTTATCCTAAGCCTGGAAATAAGGGGTCTATATGAATACCCCATCACGATATTCAAACTCCGGGTTGTAGCCTTACAAGGCAGTGGGGCTGACTTAATTTGAGACGCAGGCAGTAAGGTACCGCTGTCCGGTTTATACTTCTTCTGCTGATAGTAGGTGCCTTTCTTTAGAAATATCAGACTCTTCAAACTGCTGCGATCCTGCTGGATGACTCGTCGACAGTCGCACTCAACCGTTGGACGATGGCAGTGTGCGGAGTTTAGCAATCCTTCCCCGAAGGAGAGTAGCATCGGTGCTCCCATAAACATGGAAATTCTAGTCCTCTGAGTGATTAATTGAATCTTCTCACATGCACTTTTTAGGGACCAGTGCAGCTTTACCAGAAGGTTACCTCTGTGAGCCTATATACTGATATGTCGATGACCATGTGGGCCAATCATGGCACAGAATAACAGGGCAACCAATGGAACTGCCCCGACTGAACAACCAATCATGATCGAAGGTCAACCCCGATTACGAGCACGAATATAAACACACACACAGACAGACAGACAGCTATCAACCCGTCGCTACGTACCACTACGCTCCCTAACAACGCACCGATGTTGTCACCTGGATTGGTGATTAAACGTTTGCGATTAATTAACCCAGGTCACCAGAATCAGGCGATCTCTCTTCTGCCGTGCTTCTATCGGTTAGAGAACGTGCTTTTGATAAAACACTGTCGAAGAAACACCGCAATGTGCACAATTCCTCGAGGAAGCTCACGCCAACCGACACCACGATGCGTGATTACAGGAGTGTGGTCCACGAGATTCTGAACTGCACTGACCATAGGATGATAGCCGTTTAACTCGCCATTTTTTGATATCATCTTGATGTTAAAAGCACACAATAACTCGTGGGCCAGACAGACCAACTACAATAGATTTAGCTGGAAAAGATGTGACCCTGCGAAGGCCAGCAGACAAAATGGCCCAGCGGACACCAGTGACAATGCGGCCGAACTCTATATGTCTAGCCCAGTAGTCAAAGGCAAGTTTTGAGTGATACGAGCTATTTTTGCCACCAAACTAGCGTCATTCCATTCACACATAACCTCTGCTTAAGTGAGTAACAGTTGGTCCACACATGTCTTTATGCGATGTGCTTTCTTGATGGACAGATGTTTCGCACCAGCTTGGCCTTAAGCGTGCACGTTAAGGCGGCTGATTTGACTGGGACATCTTACAGTGTGTCGCATCTTTTGCGAATTCCTCATCACTGGTCCGGATACTGCCTCAAGAAAGCACATCGTTCCTGCAGCCGCCCTGCATTGTCGCCCCTGAAGCTGTGGCATCACCGGTTTCAGATCGACCACAACTGCTGTTTTCCCCAAGGTGTTACAGCGGGGATTCACCTGTCAGGATTTACCGGGGATCATTCTTATGTCGTCATGTTTTTTAACTCATCGTGTATTTGAATGGACCTAATCCGTTGGTTTTTGGTACAGTTTTCGTTTTTGTTTGGACATGTTGATAGCGCCAGTATATCCGTCATGCGACGCATTGTTAACCGTTTTTCGTTGGACTTATTTCTCCCAATGTAAGCATACTTACATGCCCTGCAATTGAAGTTGTCAGATGGGCAACTACTAGGTGCCTCTTTTGGTTCCGCTCGGTGCGATTCAATTCAATTCAATTTATCAGCTATGAACCGTGTGTCATAAGCACACTGGTTTCAGCCGCTACAGTTTTGATCGCTGGAAAACGGGAAAGTGAATACAAAACCAAGCCTTTGAGGCGAAAGCATGTTCAGTTTTTTGGAAATCGGGTAGCTATGCCTTTGAGGCGAAAGCATGTTCAGTTTTTTGAAAATCGGGTGGCTATGCAATGAAGACGATAGCTTCGATGCACGAGCACCACTGACTGCGTGATTGGACCATTTCCGTTAATGTCAATAACAACTGGTGATCAGAGTTCGGGGTCCCCATCCAGGGAGGTGGCAGTTGCCTACCCGACTTAGTTTACTAGTTATTGTATTCGTACTTCGTTGCCAGGTCATACATTGTCCACCTCTCGGTCACTTCAACTCACCACAGGGCTGGGTGAAAA